GTAACAAAATTTCATTCCGTACCAGTTGGAAACGTAATTGTCTAAGGTCTAAATGAAATGTGAAGTTTAATCAATTATAAAATTACAATGCTGTTTGTTTCAAAGCCGCATTTGTTGGGGTGGGGGTTCACGACTGCTAAGTGGGTAAGACGCTGGCTCGCTAGCCTGATGGTCGCGTGTTCGTTCCCTGCATTGACAGGGAAAGTTCATCCAGATATTCCTGCGTGTTCCCCTTGTCAGTGATGCAGGACGGAGGATCTGGCATGGACAGCTATAAATTCTATTTATACATGTAAAGGCATGCATGAGCTTATTTGCACGTATTGGAAAACTGTTCGGTTGCTTTATTTGAAAAGATACTGATATTAAACTTAAGATTTGTCAATTTTTTGGGGGGAAAATTCTGATAAATTGGTAGCTCTTCGGGAAGCGCTGATCATATCGCCTACCGACACGGTTTCTCCTTGTCAGTGGTGCAGAACGGAGTGCCTGGTAAGGACAGCTGTCTAGTCCTTTGGATGAAACGAAAAACCGAGGTCTCGTGTGTATATTGGAATGCACGTAAAAAATCCCTTAGCAGTTGGTATTCGATATAAGAATAGGCCGTAGTGCCGCTGTCCGGGCAAAATTTCCCTCATAGCACACTGTATTGCGTCTGCCCGTCTTCATTACCCCAGTTCGGAGCAGAACAGGACGTTAAACCCCATTTCATTTCATTTCATTTTAAAGCTGCGTTGGGCTGTTCATCTAATTAATGTGATTTATATTTGATATCTGTGACTGATATCCGACTATCATAAAAAAAAAATGGCCTATTAAAAACTAACATCTAATAACGAGCTATATGTTCTTTCAGAAAGTATTCAGATATCATAAATTATTTGCTAGCTATTATAAAAACGTACAATACACAAACGGGGTAAGCAATATGATCAACCTTCTCGAAGAGCGACCAATTTGTCAGAATTTTCAAAGAAAAAATTGACAAATTTTATAGTAGTGTAATATCAGTATCTTCTCAAATAAAGCAACCTAACAGTTTTCCAATACGCGCGAATACGCTCGTACACGCCTTTACATGTGATAGAATTGTTACTTTGATCAAGAAGCTGTTATTGCTCTGCACGGACTATGCGTGAAACGGTTAGACATGAAGTCTGAAATGGTTGGGTTGACATTTGAATGGTACAAATTTGAAGACTTAAATAATAACTTTTTGGATATGGGGCGCCGTTTGTAAAATAATTATTTTTTTTTTTTTTTATAGCAAAAAACATTAGATTTACTCCCAATATATATATTTAGATAAATATTAGAACAAAAATGGCATATATGTAAATATCAAAAAATATTGTAGTTAAAAGTCGAGTTTTTGGTCTATGAAAAACTTTAAATGTTATATCTTGATTTCACAACGCTTAGTTAAATATATAGCTAAATGTGCTGTTTTTCGTAGGTATAAATACTAAATCACTGAAAAATCTAAAGTTAAATATTTAGCTAAATATATAAACATTTAGCTAAATATGTAAACATTTAGTTAAATATATAAACATTTAGCTAAATATATAAACATTTAGCTAAATATATAAACATTTAGCTAAATATATAAACATTTAGTTAAATATATAAACATTTAGCTAAATATGTAAACATTTAGTTAAATATATAAACATTTAACTAAATATATAAACATTTAACTAAATATATAACTGCTGGGTATTTATAAATGACAACATTACATTCGCCTTTCCGTATACGATAGATTACGGTCCGTATTTTTATTTCATTAAATTCAACTTTATATTATATGGTACGCAATACAAAAGACACGCAAGAGAAACGTAGATCATAGCGAGCACACGCCTGTCAAAAGACCTGCCTTTAATTATACAAAGACCTGCGTAAAACACACGGTCGAATGATAAATCGCACGGTAAAACAGTTTTACTTCCCAAATTTTGATTTAACACGTACGTGTCAGATAAAGCCTTTTGGTCCTTGATTATACTCCTAATACATTTAATAAATGTCAAACGGTGAGTGCGCGTCTTTTTAGTAATAAAACAGAAATATATTTGTTATTTTTGCTGGAGTTACTCTCTATATTCCCGTTTATATTCAAATTGGGCATTGACTGCTGGGTATTTATAAATGACGACATTACATTCGCCTTTCCGTATACGATAGATTAAGGTCCGTATTTTTATTTCATTAAATTCAACTTTATATTATATGGTACGCAATACAAAAGACACGCAAGAGAAACGTAGATCATAGCGAGCACACGCCTGTCAAAAGACCTGCCTTTAATTATACAAAGACCTGCGTAAAACACACGGTCGAATGATAAATCGCACGGTAAAACAGTTTTACTTCCCAAATTTTGATTTAACACGTACGTGTCAGATAAAGCCTTTTGGTCCTTGATTATACTCCTAATACATTTAATAAATGTCAAACGGTGAGTGCGCGTCTTTTTAGTAATAAAACAGAAATATATTTGTTATTTTTGCTGGAGTTACTCTCTATATTCCCGTTTATATTCAAATTGGGCATTGACTGCTGGGTATTTATAAATGACGACATTACATTCGCCTTTCCGTATACGATAGATTAAGGTCCGTATTTTTATTTCATTAAATTCAACTTCATATTATATGGTACGCAATACAAAAGACACGTAAGAGAAACGTAGATCATAGCGAGCACACACACCTGTCAAAAGACCTGCCTTTAATTATTTAAAGACCTGCGTAAAACACACGGTCGAATGATAAATCGCACGGTAAAACAGTTTTACTTCCCAAATTTTGATTTAACACGTACGTGTCAGATAAAGCCTTTTGGTCCTTGATTACACTCCTTTTGATGCAGTTATCGCAACTAGCGAGAAAACACGCCAATTAAACAATACACAACATTGACATTCATACTTTACCGGTCGGTTAATTAACACACCTCTACTGAAAACGCACTGTCGCACAGTTTTTCACCCCTTGCGTTAATTATCTCACCTCCCAGACAGTTTTTCACCCTTTTTAATTAACACACCTTATTTACAGTTTTAACACGGTAATACCGAGTAATAGTCGGAAAATTAATTTTCTTTCGATACACGTACAAATAACAACTATGACAGATTTATATGGTGGCTGTGCACAGTTTCACCCTTTAGCAGTTCCCAGTGTATCCCGCTATTATATATCAATATCTAAAGGAATCATATTCACCCTTTATTTGTTAAATTCAAGTACAAAGATAGGTTGCCAGGCAACGAAACATACGCCCACAGCAGCTAAATCGTCCGGGGAGTCAACAAGAGTTGTCGCATATTTTTACTTTTTTCGATAATTAAACATTTATAATACATTAAAATCTGATAAAGAGTAACAACTAATTAAGTAATTATCAGATAACCATTAGAATTTGTTTGGTTTTTATAAAGTTCTGCACCATGCTAATGTTTAGTATAGAAAACTTTTAACATCATGGATTTAGTTGTTCAAGTCATAAAAATTCATTGAAAATCAATATACTTGTTCGTCTCAAGACCCTAAACTCTGTGTATCAATCTGAAGTCAATCGGAAAATAACTTTAGCCTCTAGAGCGTCAGAAGTTTTTTCAAAAAGATCAAGGGCCATAACTCTGGCAGTACTTATCAGAAATTGCTGAAAATCAATAGGCTTCTTCGTCTCATGACATTAAACACTGTGTATAAATTTAAAGTCAATTGGATATTAACTTTAGCCTCTAGAGCGTCCACAAGATTTTTCAAAGTTTTCAAGGGCCATAACTCTAGCAGAACTTATCAGAAATCGCTGAAAATCAATAGGCTTCTTCGTCTCATGACATTAAACACTGTGTATAAATTTAGCCTCTAGATCGTCCACAAGATTTTTTGAAGTGATCAAGGGCCATAACTCTGGCAGTAATTATCAGAAATTGCTGAAAATCAATAGGCTTCTTCGTCTCATGACCTTAAACACTGTGTATAAATTTAAAGTAAATCGGATATTAACTTTAGCCTCTAGAGCGTCCACAAGATTTTTTGAAGTGATCAAGGGCCATTACTCTGGCAGTAATTATCAGAAATCGCTGAAATTCAATAGGCTTCTTCGTCTCATGACCTTAACCACTGTGTAAAAATTTAAAGTCAATCAGATATTAATTTTAGCCTCTAGAGCTTCCACAAGATTTTTTGAAGTGATCAAGGGCCATAACTCTGACAGTAATTATCGGAAATCGCTGAAAATCAATAGGCTTCTTCGTCTCATGGCCTTAAACACTGTATATAAATTTAAAGTCAATCGGATATTAACTTTAGCCTCTAGAGCGTCCACAAGATTTTTTGAAGTGATCAAGGGCCTAACTCTGGCAGTAATTATCGGAAATCGCTGAAAATCAATAGGCTTCTTCGTCTCATGACCTTAAATACTGTGTATAAATTTAAAGTCAATCGGATATTAACTTTAGCCTCTAGAGCGTCCACAATTCCGGACCGACGGACGGGCGGACGGGGGTGACGACAATATACGTCCACATATCAATGTGGGCATATAAAAATTGATCTTCTATAGGCGTTCTTTCTTTAATATTACATTGACCTAGATAGATAGTATCTAATAAACTGTTATTGTATACTCTTCAAAAAAAATAGGGGATATTGAAATGCAAATACCTATGCAGGTTGTGATATGATAAATAGTCATGGACACTTGACATGCTTTACATGCGACACAATAGTGTAGCAATAGTGCCCTACACGTGGGAGGGGTTCATTGTCAAATTTGACACTTCAAGGAAGGGTTGGTGAAAACTGCTGTTTATCCTATCCATGTTTGCTTTCTTATCGGTTCTTGCATAAAATTTACTGTATCTTTGCTTTAGTGTGATATTTTAATAAAATAGTAAGTTAATGTTTCCTTTTTGATATTAAAATATCAAAAAAGAAACATTTTTAAACTTTATTTGTTAAATTCAAATCTATAAAACTAACCCTGTATTCCCTTTCCTTTAAATGTTTTAGCTATAATACAGGTGGGTTTGTCTTTAACAGATTCAGCACTGTGAAAAGCCTTCACTAGCTCACATACATCATGGCCGTCCAATACGTAGGTATTAAATCTAGAAAATAATCAAATATTAATAATATACCAGATGAGGTAGAATCAATCTTCACGCTCAAGATTGCCTGTTTTGGGGTACAGGAGAAGTGTTGGAGAAGAGAGAGACAAGAGATTTCTAATCAACATATAGGGTGACCCATGTACTCACAGAAATACAGTCCACCGCTGATAGTTCGAGACTACCACTAAAGCGTGCACATTCGCCGTGCCGAGACCAATTTTCTGACAGTATGATACTATAAATAGCCATGGCACATGCAATTCTCTACAAATCTATCAACTATTACAGCCGTAAAAAATTTATTGTTGACAATTTTGAATAGCAGTAAAATGAAGTTTCTTGGTTATTACAGCAGATTTAGAAATTACGTTCGTTTCATTTTTTTAAATCGCTTTATCATTAACTGTACCGTTAAGAGCGGCATCTTTTGGTTTAGTACAAATAATATCTCTGAATCAATCGGGTTAGACAGGAACATGATACTAGCAGTAGTTTCATTTTACTATTACAAGCTTCTTAAAACGATTGTTGAGCTACCTAACGTGCTTATTTCTAAATTCAATTTCTTGTTCTAGCTTTCTGTTATGTTTCGTAAAAAAGTAGTCTTGATTATCCCGACCTGTCAATCAGACGTAGAATGGTCGATAGACTGGTTAAGCGAGACTAATTTCAAAACAAGGGCACATAACCTATCTTTTACTCAAAAGTGTCTGGATGTTATGGACGACTCTTGGAACCAGTTTTCAGTCTATTATTTATACATGATTAATGGTCATAGCTTATTAAGTACAACATGATCGTTTATTTAGTGACTATAATTGTGTGAAACTGATTTGAGGCTTGGCATATATATAAATATTGTGGCGTAATTGTCGAGATATATGGAGATATTTATTTATGGTGGGTCACCCTACAACATAAGGTGTGGAAGAGTGGAGATGGAGAGACTACATTTACTGTAAGAACTGTATTATATATAAACATTACCAAGCCTGCAAATAAGACACCAGTCATAGACAACAATGTCAGACACAGATTCAAGCTTTGTCAGGCACTAAACCTCTGGTGCCTGTCATTTTGTCCGTCACTGACTTGTCTTTATTGATATTATTAATATATGTCTGGTACTAAGTTGAAAATATCAGTTACTATTTCTTTATTTCCTCCAGGCCTGCACATTTCCATGGTTACACTCCCAATGCAATGCAAGGGAACAGCATTTTTTCTACCTCTTCTGAATTCAAACTGGGTTAGTCTACATCAGCAGGAGCTCCAGCATCATACCCACTGAGCCATAAACAGAGGTTATGTGCTCTCATACTGTACATTCGCTTGAAGATTGAGAGAAATGGGGTGTAACGTCCACTCAACACAAACTAGGTCATTTCGGGATTAACACAGGGTTCAATTCTATTTCAATAATTCGCTTGCGCATAGGTGTCTTTAGCAGTGGGAGGAAAGCGGAGGACCTGGAGAAAACCCACGAGGTTGACAGGCAACCTACTCCTTGTCACATACAACCGGGGAATCAAAACCCTGCCAGTTGACTCAATGACAGACCTTATGATACAGCGCGCATGTGCTAACCATTTGGCATTCCAACCCCCCTTTCGCTCGAAGAAACATGTTGATGAACCTACCCAAAGGCTTCTGCTCTCTTTCTGTATGTTTCCACATCATGTTGTAGACTAGTTGGATCACTCTGACCTAGACGGTTGACATCAAAGATGGCTACTAAATTATCTAGTTTATAATGACTAGAAAAGGCCATGGCTTCCCAAATAGAACCTTCAGCACTTTCTCCATCACCCATCAAGGCAAAGACACGATAACTGTAAAACAGAAAGAGAAAGGGTTAGAGAAGGTCAATTTTGTAAACATTCAATTGTTAACCAGTACTTTTTCTTTCTAGACTAAGATCTCTTTATTCTAAATGTAGTAATATGGGGGGGGGGGGGGGAACGAGAGAGAGAAATGGGGTCGAACGTCCACTCACCACAAACTGTCATTTCGGGACAAACATATGGTTCAGTATTTTATCAATAATCTGCTTGCACGTAGGTGGCTTTAGCTGTGGGAGGAAACCGGAGGACCCAGAGAAAAACCACTAGGTTAGATAGGTGACCCTACTCCTTGTCATGTAAAGGTGAAACATAGAAACATTTTATTAAAAGAAATATCTGTATATCTAGTTATATTTTGTGCCATGATGTAAAACCCCAGCCATCTTGCTGGAGACGGGGAGTAACACAAAAACTATGTCAAAATAAAATCCATCAAATCAGTGGAATTAAGAGACACAAAAAAAGATCTCAAAATGGTAGTAGTAAGTTATGGCAAATGGAAGCCAATCATTGCCATAGAAAACTTGGATAAATGTTTATTATTCAGTTATGGCATATTTTCTTTTACAAATTTCTTTTTCACAGAAACTTTGTGAAATTGCAGTTTTATAAACTGAACTACAAATGTACTCACTCAGTTTTATCAATATATTTTCCAGTGTAAGCCATTCCTGCTGCGAAACTTAAACCCATGCCAAGTGAACCAGTAGCTACGTCTATAAAGTTCAATCGCTAGAAATAAAATATAAATATTTTTAATAAGTTCAATCGCTAGAAATAAAATAAATATTTTTAATAAATTTAAGAGTTTCACTAAACTGATACTAATCATTTTTCAGCAGTAAATACCAGCAAGAATTGGTAATTTACCAGTGGTAATCATTGGTAACAGAAAATTTTAAGTCGTTGGGTGCCACTGAGTGTGTGTGAATAACTAGATAGCTCCAGCTCTGAAGTTCATCCATTTTACTTTACGTTTAAAAATGTCAAAGATTTAAATACCGGTACATGAAAAAAGACAAAACCAAAAGTAGGATATTTAACCAATATTATTATTGCCTAAGAATTAAGTTTTGGAGTATGGAAATGATCTTTAATTTCAAAGGCATATCTTTAATAAAATTAAAGATGAACCACGCCCACACACAAATCACTAATTAACATGGCCTGGTTTTGTCCTCAAGCACAACAAAATATAAATGGGGTTTAACATCCTACGAGCATGCAGTGTGCTATGAGGGAAATTTTGCCCCGAAAAGTGGTGGTACGGCCTACTTTTATTCCAACTGTCAAGGGATCTTTTACATGCATGCCAATGAGTACATACGATATCGGTTTTCCATCCTATCAAACGAAAATATGTTGTCCTTTGCTAGGCCCTCCTTCCTACATCACTGACAAGAGGGGAACCATTAGGTAAAATCACGATGAAAGCTGTCAGAATGACAGAAATTGAACTAGTAACAAGCCCAATGTTGGCATTTAGCAGATTTAATTATAAAACTTGAAAAATATGCTAAACTGTATAGTTACTTTGCTTTCATTAATAATAATAATAATAACCATTTTGTATAACGCTGAGTGCTCCAGCTAACAGCTGCTCGCGGCGCTTTTCACAATTAAATTATTACATATAATATAAAACAAATAGTTCTAAAACATTAAAATGTCAACATGTTCATAGTTTAAAAGCACGTTTAAAAAGTTTGGTGTTAAAATTTTTTTTAAAAACAGCAACGTTAGTAGAGTCTTTTACATGTCTAGGTAATTCATTCCATACGTTAGCAGAGGCGTAAACAAAAGCCCGTTCACCAGTTTTAGTTTTTACTGTAGGAACATGAAGTTTTTATCAGCAGAGCGTAGGTTCCTGCTTGGTTTATACGGGGTTAAAAGTTCATTAAGATATTGTGGGTAACAGTTATTATTTAGACAATTAAAAGTTAAAAGACCGATCTTAAAATTAATTCGTTGATAAACTGGTAGCCAATGAAGATTTTGGAGTACTGGAGTAATGTGTTCAGATTGTTTAGTTAGAGAAACGATACGTGCAGCTTTGTTCTGAATTTTCTGGAGTCTGTTTATATCTGATGCTGGTAATTGGTATAGAAGCGAATTGCAGTAATCTAGTTTGGAGAGAACCAAAGCGTTAGTTAACATTTTAGCGATATTTGACGTTATAAATGGTCGAAGTTTACCAATGTTGTAAAGATGAAGATTTAATGATTTGCAGGTAGTAGAGATGTGACTTTTCATTTTAAGATCGTGATCAAAGTAAACTCCAAGATTTTTAACTGATTGAGAGGATGTTATTGTTGAATCACCGATTTTAACGGATTGAGAAAGAGATTTTCTGCTGATTAAGATGACCTCTGTCTTATCATCATTTAATTTTAGGAAATTAAGATTCATCCAATTTTTTATGTCATCTATACAAGTCTCAAGTTTACAGATTTCGGTGGAGTCACTCAGTGGTTTCAAAGCAAGATACAGTTGTGTGTCGTCAGCATAAAGATGAAAGTTAATTCCATGTTTTCGGATGATATCGCCAATTGGTGTTGTGTAGGCAGTGAATAAAAGGGGACCAAGAACCGACCCCTGCGGAACTCAAAAGCGTAGGGTTTTGGGAGACGATGTTGCTTTCTCAATGACTACATACTGTGACCTGTCAGTTAGATAAGAGCGTATCCATTTTAGACATAGTTCATCGACGCCAAAACGTGTTTGTAACCGGTTTAATAGAATATCATGATCAACAGTATCAAAGGCGGCACTTAAGTCTAGTAACGCTAATACGACAGACTGTTTATTATCTATGTTAGTAACAATATCGTTATATACTCTCAGCAGTGCTGTTTCAGTGCTGTGACCCTTCTTATATGCTGATTGAAATTGTTCGTCAAGATTGTTAATAACAAAATGGTGTTTTAGTCTCGTGGATATAACTTTCTCAATTAGTTTTGATATGTATGACAGATTAGACACATTGACAATATTGACTCAGCGGTAACACTAATCACAAAGATGTGTATTAAAATGGATTCAGCTACGCAGAAAAAACATACAAAACTCAATCATATTATGATAATTGGGTGAAAATTGGAACTTTGAAGCCAAAACCGGTGTGTGCATTTTGGATTTTGGTTAATTTGACCCATTTGGACACGGATTTCAGACTGACTTCTTTTTTGGGTAATAACCATGGTCGGCATTTCTATTGCAGCAACTGCCCACACTAATGTTATCTTGCCTTGAATAATATGTCTTAGCTTGAGTACATTTAAGCTTATTGAACACATTTTTAACATTTATGCAGGATTAAACAAGCGGTTGCCATGCATGATACGCCCACATTTTGCAAGAGATGGACAGAGAACAAGCTCAAAAAAAGAAGTGATTTTTCGTACAATCAAGGGCCATAATTCAGGAAGTTAAGATCCGATATGCATGAATATTGAAAGGAACCAAGATCTTTGGGTTATAAACATGTATTTCAAGTTTCATCAAAATCGGATCAAAATTGTGTCCTCTCTCTAGAGGGTCCAAAACCTTGATATATACCATATATTTACAATATTTGCGTACGAGGGGCAGCCATTTTGTCCGGCAGTTTTGGTCCTATTATTTAAGAAATTCAGACTCAACCATCATAAAAGCTAAAAAACGCTATTTTTCGTACAATCAGGGGCCATAATTCAGGAAGTTACGATCCGATATGCACGAATATCAAAAGCAACCAAGATGTTTGGGTTATAAACATGCATTTCAAGTTTCATCAAAATCAGAAGAAAATTGGCAACTCTAGAGAGTCCACAACCTTGACATATCATATTTTTACGCTATTTGAGTACGAGGGGCGGCCATTTTGTCTGTCAGTTTTGGTCCTATTTTTACAAAATTCGAACTCAACCATCCTTAGGGTGTAACTGTGATATATTAAAACGTTTTTTTAAATCGGATAAATATTATGACCTCTTATAGGGTCCACAAGCTAAAAACGCGATTTTTCGTACAGTCAGGGGCCATAATTCAGGAAGTTACGGTCCTATATGTGCGAATATCTACAGGAACTGAGATCTTTGGTTTATAAACATATTACAATTTTAAACCAAATCAGATAAAAATTGTGACCTCTACAGTATTCACAAGCTAAAAACATGATTTTTCGTACAATCATGGGCCATAATCCATGAAGTTACCATCCGATACATGCCAATATCGAAGGAAACCGAGATCTTAGGGTGATAAACATATAGTTCAAGTTTCGTTGAAATCGGATAAAAATTGTGACCTCTAGAGTGTTCACAAACAATTGTGGACGGACGGACGGGGGCAACGACAATATACGTCTACATGAAAATGTGGGCGTATAATTACACAGTACATACATGTATAGCTTACATGCTTCAGTGGACACAATAATCAAATATTGTCTTCTCTTCTAGTGGGGTTTTACATGATTCTACAAGTTAATTCTCTAATATCGAGGCTAATGCCACCTGGGAAGGGTAGGACACATTGTAAAATATAAAATTATTGTACTTTAATTAAAAATATGAATAAGTCATTAAGTGTAACAATTTGGTATAATTATATCAAATCATAACACAAAACTTACTTATATTACCCATCAAGCATAGAACAATAAGTATTCTGAGAGTATTGTTGAAGCAACACATGTCCTCGCAGGCCCAAACAGATTTTACAGTGACCACTCTAGACTCTTAAAAGCTTTAGCCAAATGTTTAGCCACATCAAAATTTTATTAGCCAATTCAGAAAGTTTTAACCAAATATTTTATATCATTTTTATTCATATGTTTGTTAATTAAAAATGAAAATAAATGTTTATATGTACTTATTATTTAGTACACAAAAATATTATTTTATCTCCTTGACTGTCCAAAAGTTCACATTTTGGAGAGAATGAATGCAGATAACAAAACAATGTTTATAGGATAAATTACTTCACAGCCATGTACATGATTTAGTTCATCATCAAAACAGAACAGACACGACGATTCTTTTTAAGACACCACTGATCATATGCTCTGAAAAATTCAAAATTTATGCTTTCCGGTCCATCTATTTTTATAAGCATGAGATCATTGAGGGTTAGCTCGGTCTCAGTTAAGGTCTAATTTTTGTCCACATGTTGATGAAGCCAACGAAGGACTTGCGTCAAAGGGCTCTGTCGATATAGTTCATTTTCGATACGATACGTATTGACGATGCGGCAAACCGATACGTATCACGATATAGTGACAACACGAATTATGCCCAAAATAACCCAAACTACATTCTATTTCAAGACGTTTGTTTGAGATGGGTAAGCATCAGGGTCCTTAATCCATTTTGAAAAGAACCGGCCAGAATTGGGTCAATTGATCAAGGTCCCGTAGGAAATGGGTTAATTATAAGCATCCATTCCCTTTAAAACTAGACTTGGTATTTTGTTATGGAGAATGTCGTATTTCAATAGTTACTATGTAAGTGATAACCACAAAAATAACGACAGGTATATTTAATTCACATACCATCTTGAAGTTACATCAGTAATATTCCAGAATAAATTACTGTCTTCGTTTATTCGATGAAACGTTTGCGTTTCACAAGTCGATGATCTAAAATATTAACATAATTCTACGACTGTTAGTATCAGAAAATACTGTAGCCAAAATAACCTGATACGGCACCATGGCATTTCTTCATAACATAATTTGTAGTTTTTTGTCTATCATGTAACTTGCAAAAGTTTTTATTCATTCGTCAATGACAACCATACTTGAAATTGTTTAAAAATAAAAATTCTGTACGATTATGATATAGCCTTCAATAAAAACGACAATATTTTTAAAATTAAGCCTTTGTCAGAATGTGTATATATAAAAAAAAAATCATAAAGGTAAGCGCTATTTACAACTGGTTTATTGACCTAATTCCATCCGATATGTCACGTGTCTTTGGAATTTGTCATTGGAGATTCTATCAGGAAAATATATTATTAAATGACTGTTTCGCGGTGTATTCGGTGTTCTATCAAGATTTAAATGAAGATTCAAATTTACCTAACAACTTGCCAGTGAATCCATCAATGTATGATCCAGTCATTATTTTATTATCTACCGGTACCTGGAATTAATACGGAGAGTGGAAGACGCTCGATTGGCAAACCATGCCTAGGTCGTCTTCTTTCGCCACGTGGGTTTCATGATCTTTCTTAAACTGAAGAATTTTTTCAACGATACGATATTACGTATCGATAAATATCGCTGGAATGTATCGGTGTATCGATAATATATATCGACACAGTCCTAGTCAGGGATGACACTCTTCACTCTCGGCAGTAGATTCTGGACTAACAGTAGTCGTAGCAAGGAAAAGGGAATCTATCCTTCTTATTTTGGATTTACTAGTATTAGTTGTCATTATTGTGCGTTTTATTTATTTGCTGTGTGAGTAAAGAAAACTTGTAGTGAAGTGAATGTAAACAACACAGTTTCACACAAACGGGACGTAACTGTACGTGTTTGATAATTTTAATGCGTAACATGGACTGATTTGCGACTTGTAAGATTGAGACTAGAGTAATTAATGTACTAAAAATAGACACTCCATCAAGTCAATCGAAAGAAGCCATTGAACAAGACGATTTCAAGTTTAATAATAGCAGATTCATGAAATAACACTCTAAAATTCATTCGCCAAAATTTTCGCCAGTATCATCACTTTATTCACCAATAAAAAGAACTGTCGTCATTGGCGAATTGGCGAATGTCTAGGGCAGTCACTGGATTAAAAATCATAAAAAGACACATGTAATACCGTGTTGTGAATATGTAATCCAAAAAGGTATAGATAGAATAAATTTTGTAACTCTACATATAAATCAGTGTACTAAATTTTAATAAAAATGCAAATCTATCTGTAGTAACTCAGCCATTAATTTGGAAATTTCACACTGTATAGAAACCAGATGTCCAAGACAGGTCCTTGTTAATTTCTGGGCATAAAAGAGCACAAATTCAAGGATATAGATTTTGATATTATCAAGGCAACCCTTCTCCTTTGTCAGCAGGGAATCAAAATCCTGCCACTTGACACAATGACAGAGCTTTTGATCTAACACACACATGTTAAACCATTCATCCACCCGACCCCAACTATTGACTTGTCAAATTTATAATTTTATACTTACTGGGGTAGGATGTCCTTCAAGATCAGATGACAATTTACGTAGATTCAGTAAATCAGATGTAGGGAAGAGACCAACCTCAGCCCATGCTGCGTACAGGATTGGACAAGCATGGCCCTAAATTAAAAAAAAAAAAACTTTTTAGTTATCAACAATAATATAAGAAGATTATTTTGGTGTATGATATCTTACTAACTAAAATTGAATATTGATCTTGATATTTGAATATGTGATTAATCTTTAATTGTTTTTAAACTATTTTGCATAATTACAGATATAAAGAGTTTTAATTTATCTGCTGAATATTAATTGGTTTCACTGAATTCAATACTTCCGTTCCGAGCCAAAAGCAGACAAAATTTAATATACGGTATGAATTAGTTCCAATTTAGTACTGAATAATGAATATCCCAAAAAAGATAAAGTTATGTCAGGCCCTTGAATAGGTTTGATTTTTATGTAACACAGACATTCACATTTGCATGCAGTAAATGAACAAAAACTTTAAACTGACCCTCTTTCCGAAGGGAAGGTTTTCACCGATTATTAAAATAAACAGGTGTGGACATAATAATTTTACAGACGTATCTGAACTTGTACTCGACATTTATAACTTTGTTCCAGACATATGAATAATTGAGAAAACAATCATGTGCCTTATTTCTAGGTTTACAGAAGAATCATGTCTTAACTACATATAAATAAATACAAATAAATAATTCTAGACCTTTGATAAAACAAATCTATCATTTGACGGATCTTTTGGTACTTCCACCTTGTATTTCATGGTGTTGAAGAATAACACAGAGAAGATTTCTGCAGCAGAACAACATGATGTAGGATGTCTGAAAAATAGAGATATATAATACATTTGGAATCAATAGGTTTCTTTCTAATGTTAAAATGAGCAATCTCAAAGAAATTCGTGTATCAAGCATACAAATAATGAATTTAGATATTATTTAAATGAACGGCAACAAACTTTCATTAAGAAAGTCAATCTAGATTAAAACACAGATCCTATTTCGTTTCGTTTTTATAGTTCAAACTTCCGTTTTACTTGTCTTTACTACACTACGATCTGGAAGAGTTGTTATCATTGACGTGTTCTGAATGGTGTGAGGAATTAGCCAATGAAACGGTTTGTTACAGCGAACTTTAGGCGTGTTTTGCACAGACCTGTGGGTTATCCACTAGTAACATCAATGCTGATTGGTTAATCAAATGTCTGACGTCATAGGGTCAAAAGCTGCTCGTTTGACCTCTGACGTGAACTCCCACTATAACTTGTCAGATATTCATGTAATGTAGGTCATCGAAAGTATAAAAAAACAAAACGAAACGAAATATAGATCTGTATTTTAATCTGATTGAGCAATTGAAATGAAATGAATGGGGTTTAACGTCCCACTTTTCTGCTCCTAAACTGGGCTAATGAAGACGGGCATACGCCATACAGTGAGCTATGAGGGAAATTTTGCCCGGGTAGCGGCGCTATGCCTACTCTTTTAGCGAATTCCAACTGCCAAGGGATCTTTTACATGCATGCCAATATGTACACGGGACCTCAGTCTTTCGTCCCATCCAAACGACTAAGAGAGCTGTCCTTGTCAGGCCCTCCGTCCAGCATCACTGACAAGTGGGAAACCACGACGGAAAATCTGGAGGAACTTTCTGGGCCAATGCATGGATCGAACACCCGACCTCCAGGCTAGCGAGCCAGTGTCTTACCCACTTAGCCACGTGATCCCCCTCAGATTGAGCAACAAACAATGCATAATAAAAGTAATGCAATCTAAAATGACATGCATTTTTTCTTATTTGCTACATGTAAATCGTGCAATCATTCTACAGCCCCCACACATTGGAGTGGGATTTAAATTTTATGAAAGGGAAAATAAATGTAAACAATGATAAATCACATTCAGCAGAAAAGGAAAACAAGCGGTTGCTATGCAAGAAATATATGCCCACATTTTGCAAGAGATGGACAGAGAACAAGCTAATAACAACAATGATTTACGACTTACATACATGTACAATCAGTGGACCATAATCCAGAAAGTTACGGTCTGATATGTTTGAATATAGAAAAAGAACCAAGATCTTAGGGATATAAATATATTTTAAGTTTCATCAAAATCTGATGAAAATTGTGATCTCTAGCAGGTCTACAATCTTTGTATTACATGTACATACTTTTTTTATGAGAAAGATGGGGTCTGACGTCCACTTGACACAAACTAGGTCATTTTGGGACTAGCATATGGTTCAATTTTATTTCAATAGGGGGGATTCAAAATACTTTTACGTAATCAATCTTCATGAAGGTGGAACGGTGATATATTTAAACGGTTCTTGCAATCAAATAGAAATTGTGTCCTCTAGAGGCTACACAAGCTAAAATGTAATTTTTTTCATAGCATTTGGGGCCATAATCCAGGAACTTGCAGTCCGATATGCACAGATATCGAAAGGAACCGGGATCTTTAAGTTTCATCAAAATCAGATCAAAACAGTGACCTTTACATGTATATTTACAGGGATCGAATTTGACGGACGCAAACACGCAAAATGCGTGTTGATTTTGTAGACTGCGTGTCACAAAATATGTCACATAATGGGTCCGATATGGGTTGGAAACATACATTTCAAGTTTTATCTAAATCTGATAAAAATTGTGACTTCTGAGTGTCTCCACAAGCCAAACATGATTTTTTCGTACCATCAAGGGCCATCATCCATAAGGTTACGGTTCGATACATACCAATAATCTTTTAGAGATAAACCAGATGAATGGTTGTCTTATCTTCAATGATGATCTAAGTTATACACTCTCTTTAAACTCATGGGTAATGAACAGGATTTTAATCTAAATATCACTTATGATAGAAACAAGGCCAGGCTGATTTAATTTAAATCAATGGTTCACAGACTAACACAGTTTTAACCAGCAGTTGTCAGGCATGATACGCCCACATTTTGCAAGAGACGGATAGAGAACAAGCTAAAAAAAAGTTATTTTTCGCACAATCGGACAATAATCCAGGAAATTATGGTTTGAAATACGCAAATATCGAAATGGACCGAGATATTTGAGATATAAAGATATGTTTCAAGTTTCATCAAAATTTGATAAAAATTGTGACTTCTAGAGAGTCCACAACCTTAGTTTTATGTACTTTTATACTATTTCTGTACAAGGAGCAGCCATTTTGTCAGGCAGTTTTGGTCCGATTTTCGAATTCAACCGTCAATAGGGTGTAACGGTGATACATTTTAACGCTTTTAAAAATCAAATAAAAACTGATATCTAGAGGGTGCACAGGCTAAAAACATGATTTTTCGTTCAATCAGGGGTTATAATCCACAAAGTTTCGATCCGATACATACCAGTATCAAAAGAAACCAAGAGCTTTTGGAGCTTCATCAAAATCGGATAATTGTGACCTGTAGAGTGGCCTAGATGACATCGCTAGCCTGCGATCTTTAGTGGATTGTGAGCCGATTTACTGTGTAACTTTCCTTTATGATTTAATGATTAAATGGATATTCGAGACTATGCTGTTTATTGTACTGACTTTAGTAATGATGAGCGAGGCTAGGCGGAAATTTCAATTGCTTAGTTCTCGGTTCATAGAGGATCAATTTGAAATTTTCAGCAAATTGCCTTTACATTATCTAGTTTATAACTATTATAGTGAGAACTGCCAACTCATTATCGAATCTCCCATAATGTATCTTTAAGAACCAAAGAACAATTACTGAAAAGTTGCAAACCTGAAAAGCCCTGTGACAAGTGACATGTTCACAAGAATGCAACTTCATGTAAAAAAAAATCATGGAATAAATTGCCAATTCAAATTTGTAATGTCACTGCTATTCCTATTTTTAAAAATTAACTACAAGACATTTAATTTTATATAAAAAAAAAAGACTTCTGCCTTTTACACAGTGATCCTTTTAAAGAATAGAGCTATTTTGATTACATTTAATTTTATCTGAATATCATTTTTAATGTTTTATCAAATGCTCTGTTTATCTCATTTCATTACTGGTATGTAAATGTTATGTTGTCTTGCTCTATGTCTTTGTAAAGCATACATAAACACATTTGTACGCTACAGAAATGTGTAATAATAATAATAACAAACCAACATTGAGGCCAACGTCTCCCACAGAAATCCCGAAATAAATAAATGACACATATTAATTAATTGCACATTTATCTTTTACAAAACTATCGAGCAGTCAAACTGATTATCAACTAATATCAACTATGCACTAAGTTTCATCACTCTCTATCGGATAGAATCTAAGTCAAAGAAATTGCTTAACTCAGCTTAGTTTTAGAGGGAATTTTAATCATTGATCTCGGTCAAGACATTCACCTAATGAACATCATCATCAAGTTTAAACATTCTACCTCAATTAAAATAGTTCTTATGTTCCAAAGTCTTGAAAAATCAAATTGCTTTTTGCTTCTTGGCCTAAAAAGAACATTATCATCGAACTTAGTCAAGGTAATGATATAATGAATCTATACTCATAGCTATCAGTTCATTATAACTAAAGTTATCGTGTCCAATAGCTACAACCAATCAAATTGCTTATCTTTGCTTACTGCAAGCAGAAAATGTTCATCATCGAACTCCATTAAAGCATTCACCTAATGAACGTGTACACCAAGTTTGAACATTCTACCTCAATTAGAAGGAGAATTATTGTGTTTCAAAGTCTCAACCAATCAAATTGCTTATCACTTTGCTTACCCTCAGCAGAAAATGCTCATTATTAGTCAAGGTATTGATGTGATGAAACTATACACCAAGTTTCATCATTCTCACTTAATTAGAACTTTAGAAAGTTATCATGTCCCAAAGCATCAACCAATCAAATTGCTTTTCTCTGCTTATCCTAAGCAGAAAAGGATCATCTTCGAAACCCATCAAGGCATTCACCTAATAAACACCTAAACCAAGTTTGAACATTCTAGCTCAATTAGAAGTAGAGTTATTGTGTCCCAAAAAGAGTGACGGACGGACGGACAGACAGACAAACCCATTTTAATAGTTCCCTGCTTTTTTCGAAATGCGGGGGACAATAATAAGAAATTGTATGTGGAGACCAGTGACAAAATGTGTGGGTATTAAAATATGCGGTGTTAAATTATACAGAGCTCTTATAAAACTAAAATATGCATGTGTTGTGTAACAATATAGGCTTGGTACAATAATCCTTTATTTTTAAATAGTGCAGAATCATTTATTTATACAAGGTAAAACATAATCATCATTATATGCTACAAACACCATGACTAAGCATTATTTCTTTTCCATTCTCTTCCTTTAATATGCTAAGAACACCATGACTTTGCATTGTACATGTATATGCCTTTATAACCAAAAACCTAAATGATTGTTTAAAGAGGGGACATCATGTGAGAATTTAATAAAGAGCTGACCGTTCTTGCTATAATAGTTCCAAGATAGATAATGCAAAATGAATTTATTTAAAATTTCACTGAAATTACTTTATAGTCTGCCGGATTTAGATTATTTCCTGGAAAAAAGTCCCATCAAAGCAAATTTGGTCTCAAATGGAAGGTGGGGTCCGTAGGTACTCCAGAAAAAAAATGACCCATCATGATCGCTTGGGGAAAATTTTTGGAGTGGTGTCAAAGGTCATGGTCTACCAATCAGAAAACAGCGGTCAATATCTAAAAAACTATCAATATTCCCTATAAATGTATTAATATTATCAAGATATAGGAACTCTAAATCTCCGAGTCGAATAAAGCAGTCTGTACTAATGGACTTAAATGCCAGTGCCCGGGGCAAGGGTC